TGACAAGTAGAATATACCAGAAATGTTTGTTTCCTGTCCTCTTAAAATATAAGCAGGTCAAGAAACTTCAGTCAACTGCTTCCTCTGCATTTTACCCTTTGGAAAAGACAGACAACCATGAGCTTAAGAAAAAATAAGATTATTAGGAATTTTTAATTCATGATATAAAAAAGTGGTTAAAGGAAATTACTATATTTAAAAATTTAGTGTTTGATCCTGGAATTTATTATCCTGATTTATGGAATAAATTCAGTAGCCAAGTAATACTGTTGAGTAACTGCAATTTTTTTTTTCTTATCATTTGGAACCACTGTCTTCATTTGAGAAAATAAATCATTCCCAAATTCTCTGGCTCTCTGTTCAGATATCCAGTTCTTCATTTAATTAGCATCATAATATGTCTGTGTAACTGAATACCATTTGTGTAATCTAAGTATATGCCATGATTTCAGTATCTCTTGTAGCAAAGAAAACTAAAAAACATAAAACCCTCAAGATCTGTCTTGAGGAGTAAAGATGAAAATGAGACAAATAAGAGAAATGAGAAGCAAATGGAAGAACAACAAAACCTTAAATGAAATATAATATGCCTGTAGTCAAAGAAGTGGCCATTCTGATCCATCTGACAGAATTAATCAAAGATAAGAGAACATTGGTTTTGATTGTGGGTGGAACTTTGATAAAATTCCAAAAACCTTTTGCCATCACAACACCTCCCAAAGGTGGCCTGTTAGAGGTTTTTACACAAAGAATGCAAGGACGATGTCACTTTCGTGCTAAAGTTAACAAATAGGATTATAATTGACAAGAGTCAGAACATTTTAGAGAGTCTTTAACTGAAATTACGGCAGCATAAATGTTTTCTGTAAGTCCCAAACCCAAGCTATTACTTATATTTAACCATATGTCAGTTGATATTGGTTTATATAATAATTTTTTGAGATTTATCACTATTTGAGATGTCACCAACATGCAGTGCCTCAAATTCTGTTGTTCCAGCAAAGAGACCTGTTTGAAACTTTAAAAAGCAATCAGTGAAATTCACACATTATTTTCTATAAAATACTTTCAATAAATTCTGAATTAATTGGTCTTTCCCAGTGTGTTTCCCAGCAACCATTTGGCCAAGCTAATACATGAGCAGAAGATAAGAACTCCTTTTGCTCTCTAATCCCAATTTTTTTTTAATTTTATTTAAGGTATACAAATTTCATATAATTCCTATACACATATTCTGGATCATAGTGCTACTTCCCACCCTACCCTCCCTCCTGCCCACATTCCCACCCTTATTCCTCCTCCCTCTCTTATTCCCATTCTTAATTTTTACAAAGATCTGTTTTTTAATTTCCTCAACAGTGGAGACAAAGGCCATAAACAATTGAGTCTCAAAATGTCAATTTCACACCTATTTACCTTTTAGGTACTCTTTTAGTTACCACAGATCAGGGAAAATATATGGTATTTGTCTTTTGGGAACTGTCTTATTTCACTAAGTATAATGGTTTACAGTTCCATCCATTTTGTTGCAAAAGACAGGATTTCATTCATACAGTATTCTATAGTATATATGTATATATACTATAATTTCTTTATCTAGTCTTCAGTTGATGGACATCTGGGTTGATTCCATATCTTAGCTATTGTGAGTTGAACTGCAATGAACTTGGGGGTACAGATCACTCTTTCATATGCTGATTTCATTTCATTTGGGTAAATTCCCAGGAGTGGGAAAGCTGGGTCAAATGGTAGGTCTATATTCAGATTTCTGAGGTATCTCCATACTGTCTTCCACAGTGGCTGCACAAATTCTAATCTCAATTAATCATGTCAGATTAAGCTATAATACAGAGTGTAAGTAAAATAACATGCAAAAGGTATAATGTTTTTCCCTGGGATTTAAGAATTTTTAGTGACAGGCCAACTCTGATGCTACCTAAATGGAATCATTTTATTTATATATTCTTTGTAGAGTTTAATTTTCTTACCTGTGAAGTAAGGAGACTCAATTTAGAAGGACCTCTGGCTGGCGCTGTGGCTCACTAGGCTAATCCTCCGCCTTGCGGCACTGGCACACTGGGTTCTAGTCCCGGTCGGGGCGCCAGATTCTGTCCCGGTTGCTCCTCTTCTTGTCCAGCTCTCTGCTGTGGCCAGAGAGTGCAGTGGAGGATGGCCCAAGTGCTTGGGCCCTGCACCTGCATGGGAGACCATGAGAAGTACCTGGCTCCTGCCATCGGATCAGCGCGTTGCGCCAGCTGCAGCGTGCCAGCCGCGGCAGCCATTGGAGGGTGAACCAACGGCAAAAGGAAGACCTTTCTCCCTGTCTCTCTCTCTCTCACTGTCTACTCTGCCTGTCAAAAAATAAATAAATAAATAAATAAATAAATAAGAAGGACCTCTAACTTTCAGCTCTAAATTATTTTTAATTCAATTTATATTTTCCATTCATGATATGTAAGTGAAGCAAGTTAGAAAATAGACTATTTGTAAAACTAAAGTGAAAATGTATTCAGAATTATATAAAGGGGCCAGTGTTGTAGCATAGCAGGTAAAGCCACCACCTGTGATGCCAGCATCCCATTTGGGCATCAGTTCATGTCCTGGCTGCTCAACTTCCAATCTAGCTCTCCTCTAATGGCCTGGGCAAAGTAGCAGAAGATGGGGCAAGTGCTTGGGCCCCTGCCATCCAGGTGGGAGACTCAGATGAAGCTCCTGACTCCTGGTTTAGGTTAGCCCAGCCGTGGCCATTGCAACCACTTGGGGAGTAAACCAACAAATGAAAGATTGGTCTCTCTCCTTCCCTCTCCTTCTGTAACTCTTTCAAGTGAGTAAATGATTACAGCAACATGTTAATGGTGAGTATATAATTTTTACATAAAAGTTTTATTCTCATTTTATATGTGTATATTTTCTGTTTTGTGAGTATATATGTATTTTTGGTCAGAAAAATAGAAAGCATTTTATAAACAAAACATTAAATCATTTTAACATTTAAAGATCAATAAGTATTCTGTTTTTGGAAAAGTTTGAAGGACATAAGATAGATTTAGTTGCTCTTTCTTGAAGAGATACACAGTCCAAGATGGTTCTACATGAGAACTCCAATTTCTAGAATATCAACTAAAGGAGCACAACATACTGTACCATCAGATTCTCTACTTTTTAGAAAGATTAATGATTTGTTTGAAATGCAGAGTGACACAGAAAGAAGTGAGAGAGAGAGAGGGATCGTCAGAGAGATATCTTCCATTTACTGGTTCACTCCCCAAATGGCCACAACAGACAGGACTGGGCCAGGACAGCCAGAAGCCAGGAACTCTATCTGAGTCCCCAACATGGGTGGCAGGGACCCAGGGACATGGGGGCTGTCTCCCACTGCTTTCTCAGGCACATTAGCAGGGAGTGGGATTAGAAGCAGAGCAGCTGAGACTTGAACCAGCACTCTGATATGGGGTGCCAGTGTTGCAGATGGTACCCTAACCTGCTGTGCCACAACCCTGGTCCCAGCTTCTCTACTGTCATTGCCCCATCATCATCATTATAATCTGAAAGTATTTCTTCTGTTAATTTTGCCAGAACACTACAAAAGATAATATACACATTAAGAAACACATTCTTTCCCCCCAAAGATAAATAACATTATTGAATATGGTCAACTGAACAGGCCAAATAAAAGAATTGTGTAAACACTATAGGAACAAGATAGTAGTGGAGGTAAAATGTAGTTATGTTTTCTTAATATATAATTGGTATACCAAAAAGCTGTATTCAATTAATATATACGTCTTGATGAATTTGGGCACATGTATAACCAGGTATTAAACATGCATTATGGGGAGAAAGTTTTAGAAAAAGGTGGTAAATTCATTTAATGTAGGCTTAGCTATTCAGGTCCTAATTCACTGAAAACTTGAATATAGGACCCAAAATGTTTTTAGAATTTTTTTTTAGTTTTTAAAAAAGTTTATTTGAGGGGCCAGCATTGTGGCATAGCAGGTAAGGCTGTTGCCTGCAGTGCCAGTATCCCATATGGATGCTGGTTCAAGACCCAGCTACTCCACTTCCAATCCAGCTCCCTGCTAATGCACCGAGGAAAGCAATGGAAGATGGCCCAAGTACCTGGGCCCCTGCACAAACATGGGAGACCTAGAAGAAGCTCCTGTTCCTGACTTCAGATCGGTCTAGCTCTGGCTGGTATGGCCATTTGGGGATTGAATCAGTGGGTAGAAGATTTCTCTCTCTCACTGTCTCCCCACATCTCCATAACTCTGTCTTTCAAATAAATAAAAAAATCCTTTTTAAAAAATTGAGAGGTGGAGACACTCACACACACACACACACACACACACACACCACAGAGAGAAAGAGAAAGAGAGAGAGAGAGAGAGAGCTTTCATCTGCTGGTTCACTCCCCAAATATCCACAACATCCAGGGCTGGGCCAAACCAAAGCAATACTGGAGCCTGGTATCTAACCCAAGGACTCTGGTAAGGGACCACAGATGTCCTAACTGGTGGGTTAACTGCTATGCCAAACATCTGCCCCAGAACCAGAATTTTCAGATCCTTTAATGGCTGTGATAAAAAAAAAAAAAAAAAAAAAAAAAAAACACTGAGCCTCACAGGCAGACAGTTAAGAGTGGCTTCATATCAGCTGAAGACTTTATGTTTTGAGTGTGTGTCATTGGTTTCTAAATTTACAGAAATCAAACAAGATGCACTCAGCAGGTCAGATTACCTTCATTTAGATTGGGGTCCCTGAGGTGATAGAGATAAAAATTGTCACAATCGGATACCAGAGGATTCCTAGAAATTCCCACATTTGGTAATATCAATTGGACATGACCTTAGGCATACCATGGATTGAAAATTGGGAGACCCAATATTAAGCAATTTTAGAATGATTTTCTGATTCCTGTATATTTTTTAAAATATAGGGGTGTAGTTTGAGGCTTCCAACCATGCCAGTCTCTTTCTGACAAGAGACTCATCTTTCCTTAGCACGTAGAGCCCTTTCAATGACCTAAGCTTCACAGCACAATGCAACAGTCAAGGAGACTCCCATGGAAATGTCAAGAAGGCCGGCCGGCTGCCCACAGCTCAGCAGGACTCCAACATCCCTCCGTGATGAAAGGCTCAACTTCCTCATCTTCCTAGGAACGTGAGCATAAAGCTGCAAATCCAAGTGACCACAGTCCTTCAAACACATCATTTTTGGAGGACTGTATTTTTTCAGTGATGCTGTCATTGTTTGGAGAATCCTTAGGATACCATTTTGGAACTATACATTTATGGAGAAGGAAAAATGCAGTATCTTCGGTCTCTTATTACTTTGTGATCATGTCTCGTTTTGACACAAAATGATCAACCTTCCTCAGTTAATTAGATAATTGTTGGAGAGGAAGTCAAATTCATATTCAAACAACAAACAAGTTTTGCCTTTGAAAATGTTGCAAAGGTTGGGCAATAGGCTTTTGAATACCAAGAACATTTTCAGTAATGGCAACATCAGTAGAATAAGGAGTAAGAAATCACATCTTGGATTTCAGCAGGACATGCAATCCTGCCCCAGAGCCACACCGAATGTGAAGGAGGGGAGGATGGACATCCTCGTGTTACTGCCACTTGTATAGCAGCACAGCTGAGCATCGGGCTGCCAGGAGCTCAGACTGGGAGTTACATCAAAACTTCACAAGGTGTAGTCCAAGTAACAGCCTTGGGACCCAAGGAAAAATCACATATAGGCAGGTTAGAAGCATGCAAGAAGTAGGAATCCAGGCAGGTAGAAGCCAGATCCTTCCCCTTCAAAAGGTCTTCCCGCAGACTAATGAGCCTGGGGCCCCGGGATGGGAAGATAGAGTTCAGGTCAGGGCTTCTGGCCTCAGATAAAAATGCTGGGCTTTTTTTTTGTGGAAAGCCAGGCCCTCTCTGAGTCTGGAGGGGGTCCAGTGGCCATTCCCAAGGCCAGGAGCTGTATGAGTGTCCAGCGATCTGAAACTCACTGGACAGTGTCTAAGGCTAAGACTCATTTATTGAAGGACCAAGACATTCAGAACTCATAACTTGCAACTAGGACAGAAGTGAAACTGAGCCTGTGGGTGAGGCAAGAAATGTGGGGGAGCTGAGATATTTGGGAACACAGATGAAAGAAAGGGATGAAGACAGAGATAAGAAGCATAAATAAGGTCTGCTTGGATGCCCATGACCTCTCTGAAGAGACCAGCACCCTGATATGTTTTTTCAGAATATCTGTCACTTTAATCTATTGGCAAAACTCACATGGAAAATGCTGTACTTCCTTTCCTCCTGAGCTTGTCACCCTTAAAAGGGTGCTTTGTATTCCATGGATTCCTTGGATTTGCCAGTCTTTTTTTTTTTTTTTTTAATTTAGCTAACCAATTTTAGTGGAGTTGAAACCAGACCGTGGTTTTCAAAGAGCAGATAAACTGAGAGCAGACTAGATTCTGACTTCCCCCACATTCTGGTTTCATTACGCTCTTGAAACCCAAATCAATTTTATGAAAGAAAAAAAAAAAAAAGCTGATAAAACTGGGCTTGATTCTTAGCAAACCTGACCCAGTTAGAACCCAAAGTTGAATGGAATCCAGCTTTTAATTTAGGGGGCTGTGCTAGCAGAAATGAAACTAAATGTGTAAGAACTGAAGAGAAGGAAAAAATTATTATTATGTGATAAATTTATTAATGCAAATCTCTGAGCAATGAGTGGACAGATGGTAAGAAAATATTTCCAGGTCTAAAAACCCAGAAATTACTCTAAGGTCATAATTCTAAAATAACTCTTCTGATTAAGTTCAAACTTTCCAAGAACATTCATCTTTTATTTGAAATGAACCATGAGAAATCTAAAACTAAAAGTCATTGTAAACTGCTTGCATGAGAAGAATTATATTTTCACAATGGAACTATAGAGTAACCATTGTCAATTACTAACTACGATATTAAGGCAAGAGACAAAATGTCATTGGGTCCAAGAGAAAGAAGAAGAAACAGGAGAGTTAGGGGGAGGAGGAGTAAGGAGGTAGGGAAGAGAGTGAAGGAAGAAAGGAGAGAATACAGTGATTACACTGACTGATTCTCAGAACAAGTACTTGTGACTAACAGGGTACTGGTAGCCTTATTATAAATACCTCTCAGATGTCTCATTTTCCGTGGTAAGCATCTCCCTTCTGGACCAGTCCCAGAGAGCTCTGTCTCCAGGGAATCACAGAGTAGCTAAGTCAATATTTAAAACCAACTCTCACTGTTATTCTCTCTCTAGGCCAGGATTTCTCAACTTCATAGCAATTAACAAATGGGGCCAAAATGGGATTAAACTTGAAAGAATTTTGTTGGGGAAAAGTCTGTGAAAGAAGATTGGGAGGCAGATGGGGAAAGGTGGAACCATCAGGTCATGTTGCAAATTGGACCTCCAAGTCAAGGATGGAGGGGAGGAAGTTTGGGTGGAAGCATTCTAGGCCCCAGTGCAGAATGGAAGGTTTGGCAACTCTGTTGGGGTCCTTGAGCTGAATGGGCCATCTGGAACAGGCTTACTTTAAAATTCCTACCCTACTCAGTCATTGGCTGGGAGCAGCCCATGGGAAGCAGAACTTCAGCATGAATAGGGTGCCATAGGCTAAATGGGCCCCCAAATTTGTATTTCAAAATCTAATTCCCAATGTATTTGGAGGCAGGGCTTTTGGGAGACTATTAGGTCTTAAGGGCAAAGGCCTTATAAATGGGATTAGTGCCCTAATAAATGGGGCCCCTGAGACTTCCTTTGCCCCTTCCACCATATGAGAACACAGCGGGGGAACTGGTCACCTATGAATCAGGAAATGAGACCACACCAGATACTAAGTCAGCCAGTGCTTTAATCTTGAACCTCTGAGCCTCTAGAACTACAAGAAATAAATATTCAGTATTTATAAACCACCCAATCTGTTGCATTTTGTTGGTGCATCCAGAAGGGACTAAAACAGAGAAATGAATGTCACAGTGCAACAGCTTGTGCCTTTGGTCCGTTATACTCCTTACAGTAGGAGATCTGTGAGGCTCATTCTCACGAATGTCCCTTGTGCCATGTGGATCCACTTATAGATTCAAGCAGCTGCCTTTTCACAATTCTGGTGGTTCTTTCTACCTAAAGGAAAACTCAGGAGAGGGAGGCTAATGAAGTGAACAGCAGTCTCTGTCACAGTGATTGTTCTCATCCTCCTCTTCCTCCTCCACTGTCCATTCTAAATCCCTCACCCTCATCCATAGCTACCACTTCAGCAGGTTTTGGAGGCTTACCTGATAGTTTGACCAAAACCATAATTTCTGAGGTCCGAGCCCTTGGTAATTCATACTTTTCACAGTCTTGATTGATATCCATGTTTGTTTACAATTACAAAGGGGCAAGAATACCAGGAAACACCCGAGTGGATGACCTGTATTCCTTGCTGTCCCCATTGTGTAGAAGTAGCCCTACTTTACCTTGATCAGAGTCATAATAGCAGTAACTAGATCTAGCTTGCTAAGTGAAAGATCAGACTACTGGGCCAATATGTCATCTCCATCCCTTCTGGTACATTCACTGTCAATGGCACTAGTTCTAGAGTGACCAGTGATGAAGCCTGGCCAATATCAACTGACCAAATAATTGTATTCATTTGGTTGGTTAGTGCTTCTTCTACACTTGGCAGTTTCTGGTGAGCATTAATATGACATACAAAATCTTTGCACTTTGTGCTCACTTCTAAATGTCCATCCAAAAGACTATCCTAGACCTCCTTTTCTCTAATATTCCCATCCTTTTCCTTCCAGATCTTTGACCAAATTGACAGCCATTGGACACCTCCCAGGATCCATTTTCTCTCTCTCTTTTTTTAAAATATTTTATTTATTTATTTGACAGGTAGAGTTACAGATAGTGAGAGAGAGAGACAGAGACAGGTCTTCCCTCCGTTGGTTCACTCCCCAAATGGCTGAAACGGCCAGAGCTGCTCCAATCCGAAGCCAGGAACCAGGTACTTCCTCCTGGTCTCCCATACGGGTGAAGGGGCCCAAGCACCTGGGCCATCCTCCACTGCCTTCCCAGGCCACAGGAGTGAGCTGGATTGGAAGAGGAACAACCAGGACTAGAACTGGCGCCCATATGGGATGCCGGTGCCACAGGCGGAGGATTAACCAAGTGAGCCACAGCGCCGGACCCCATATTCTCTTTTCAGGCTACCTCTTCTCCCTCTCCAATGGATGACTGTATGCATGACGCACAGCTCTGCCCATCGGTAGGATGTTTCCTCCCCTCTGTCCAGGACCACACATGAATGTGGATATAATGCAACCACCATCAACTTTCAACTTGTACCCAAGTGCGAAGCTGAGTCAGCTTTAAAGAAAAACACTTCTGGATTTTCCTTCCTCATCAGAGGATTATACTGAAATATCCGTTCAGCCATAGGTCCAAAAGGGAGAGAGAGGGAGAGAGACACGTCTTCCATCTCTGGTTCACTCCCCAGATGGCCGCAACAGCTGAAACTGGGCTGATCCAACCAGGTCTCACACACAGGTGCAGGGGCCCAAAGACTTGGGCCATCTTCTACTGCTTTCCCAGGCCATAGCAGAGAGCTGGATCAGAAGAGGAGCAGCAAGGATTTGAACTTGTGCCCATATGGGATGCTGGCACTGCAGGCGGCAGCTTTACCCACTATGCCATGGTGCTTGCCCCAGCAACCCCTTTTTGAGAACTTTAATGATGACATTGATCTCCTCTCACTCCAAGGTATGATTATTTTAATTTATTATCTTAGATCGGGAAAGAGGGAGTCTGGAGAATATCAAAGGTTTCCATGTGGCCTTCCCTTTTATGACAGCTCTTATTCCACAAAGCAGGAAACCTATAAAGAGATTACTATAGTTTCCAAGTATATCAGTCCTAATTGTGCATGTGGGACTGGGAAAATGGCTACCTCTTGGTGGGTCTTTCAGGATTCCATTTATTATCTGGCTCCCATAGACTCTCACGCTAACAGAGGGTGCTGTGGTGATACTTTGGGTCTGGAAGTAGTGATGTCAGTTTTGTGTCCACTGATCCTGGCTTTTATTCTCTCACATCTGAGTAAGTGGTCATATTTCCTTTGGGGAAGGACTGAGGGACTTGTCAAAGTACATTCTTACCATGGTGCTGAAGAGTCCTCACTCCTAAGTATGGGCCACATCTCTCCTTTTTTTGTTTAAGATTTTTTATTTATTTGAAAGAGTTACAGAGAAGGAGAGGCAGAGAGAGAGTGAGATCTTCCATCCACAGATGGCCACAACGATCAGGGTTGGGTCAGGCTGAAGGCAGGAGCCAGATGGGTGCAAGGGCCAAAGGACTTGGACCATCTTCCACTGCTTTCCCAGGCACATTAGCAAGGAGTTGGATCTGAAGTGGAGCAGCTGGGACTTGAACCAACGCCATGTGGTATGCCAGCATTGCAGGTGGTGGCTTCACTCACTATACCACAATGTAAGCCCTGAGATGGTGAGATTTTAATGGGGCAGTTGTCCTCAGCCTTCTGATGTGTGGCTGTTACATTTGTTTTATTCTTGCAGTCAGTCTCCTGGTTTCCTAGAGCTCCAGCATGCTCATGGATGTTAACAAACCCAGCTCTGTAGCCGCCTCTCCATCATAATCCCTGACCCACAAAGGTGGAAACCACTGAGATGCTAATTCCCCTCTCATTAGCTTGTCTGTTAGACCAGTGGTGAATGGAACATCTTTATTGGGCTTTCTGATCTTACCCAGGACATCCACTTCAACATATTCACTTCTTCAGTTCCCTTGTTGCCCCCTCTACCATATTCCAGAACAACTCAGGCATTTTCTTTTCATGAGTGTTGGCTGTTATCTGTCCAGCCTTCTAAGAATCAGCCAGCAGTGAGTTTGTCCCACCACCTAACAACTTGGCTATGATGTTAAATACCATGTCTTGAATATCCGGTCTTACATTCTAGCCTCCTTATTCAATCACCCTCAAAAACCAATCCCAGGAGTATTCTCTCAGCTTCTGCCAGTACATGTTAGCTAATTACTGCAATATTTTGGACATAGAGTTTCTTTTTAAACCTACCAGGTCTAGCATCTCCTCAGTCATGGTATACTGGGGGTTAGCCCTGTTTAATGATTTAGCAGGCAGGACGGGAGGTGGGAACATGTCCTGAAGGTTGCACCTGTTATGGGCTTGAGATTTCTACATCATACAGCACTGTAGAACTTCCAGCCCTGACATGGAAGGTAGGTTATCTCTTCAGGTCCAGGCGGCTTGGAGAGGCTGAAAAATCAACATCCCCAGGCAGCATCCAGCTAGCCCAGTCTCATGTTTCTGTATTCTGTATTTGTCCACCAGGTCTCTAAGCTTTGCATAATAGAAATGCTTTGGCTGAGCATTCAAACATCTCTGGAGCTTTGTAATTCTAACAGATACTCGATCTACCCCCAAGCTGTATCTTTCCCACCACAGGGAATTGGGTTAGGACTGGGATTAGGGTTAGGTGGGTCTATTTGAGAGATACCACAGCCATTCTAAGGTTCTTGTACTTTGTAATAAATGGTTCACGAATACTCTCCAGTCTGTCAATATCCTTCTGTAGGGTATTAATATCACTTAAGAGTAACCAGTCAATCCCACAGGCTCATATGCATTAACCCCCCACCATTCCATATTTTTCAGTAGCTTGGGTCATCATATCTTATTTAGCATTTCTTCTGTCTGGACATTTTCCCAGGCTACTACTGAAATATTTAGCAACTGAGCCTCCACATTGTGCCATGGAGTATTTGTGCTCATCTACAGCCAGGACTGTGTCCTTTTCACCTGCTGGTTGGTAGGAAAGTCAGTTGTGACAGCTTACAGCCTGTTTTCTTTGAAGAATAAATACCAAAATGAGACTGAACATGTAAGAATGTTATTAGGGGAGATGTCTTGAGATAAAATTATGAAGGAGTTGGGGGAAGCGAGGTGAACCATCCGACTACTGTGCAAGTCTAACCTGAGCTAAATGGAGAAGGGACGAAGGCTGGGTGGAAGTGGCCCCAACTGCCAAGTGGTATCAGGGAGGGTCTGTCTGTAAGGCTGCTGGAGGAATCCTCATCTACAAACTGCCGTCAAAGGAGAATCCAGTACCCTGCTGCACTCAGTCAGGGGGAGGAAGCAGCCTGGGGCAAGCATCAAAGATTGCAAATTTGGTAAAATCACAGTGATGGACTTCAGAATGCAGCGTCTGGAGGCCTGGGTCAGTGATGTTCCAGTAGATGGAGGTGTGGAAGCCTGGAAGCGGGAACCTTTGTACAGTGTTGGCATGCCGGGACATTCAGGTGCAGAGACGTCCGCGTCCGGCAGTTTCTACCTGCCTCTGTGGCAGGTTTGAGTACTAGTTATAGCATTAAATCTCAATGTACAGCACACTAAGGACAAAGATCCTACATGAGGAGTAAGTGCACAGTGACTCCTGTTGTTGACTTAATAAATTGACACTCTTGTTTATGACCTCAGTAATCACCCTAGGCTCTTGTCATGAGTTGCCAAGGCTATGGAAGCCCCCTGAGTTCACTGACTCTGATCATATTTACACAAGGCCATGGTCAAAGTAGAAGTTCTCTCCTCCCTTCAGAGAAAGGTACCTCCTTCTTTGATGACCCATTCTTTCCACTGGGATCTCACTCACAGAGATCTTTCATTCAGATTTTGTTTTGTTTTGTTTTGTTTTCCCAGAGTGTCTTGGCTTTCCATGCCTGAAATACTCTCATGGGCTTTTCAGCTGGATCCACATGCCTTAAGGGCTGATTCTGAGGCCAGAGTGTTCTTTTGCGCTGTCTGCCCTTTCTGCATTTCTTTTCTTCAGCCGTTCAGCACACTCATTCACCTGGGCCACCTGCCATTGTGATGGCTTCTCCAAGGGAACAACAAAACTTTCCTAAAAGTGTAAACATTCTGAGTTCTTAAGTTTTGGAGGTTCCAGATGGGTGTCGAAAATCACAAGGAAAACTCCAAAAGTCAGTCAGAAAGGCAGATTAATAACAAGTGTTGGTGAAGATGTAGAGAATGGAGCCCCATTGACTGCTGGAATGTTAAATAAAATATTAATACATGTATGACACAGATAAACCTTGAAAGTGTTGTGCAGTGTGAAAGAAACGCATCTCAAAGGATCACATTCTGCATGATTCCATTGATACGCAATTCTCAGAATAAGAAAATTGATGCAGAGAGAAAGTAGACTGGTTTTTCTAGAATTAGGGCAGATAAGGGGATGAAAGAATTGGAAGATGACAGCTTGAAAGGCAAGGATTCCTTTTGGGATACTAAAATGTTCTAAAATTTATTTTGTGATAACTTACAACTCTGTTGAGTATATTAAAAGCCCACGGTGGATTCCACATCTTAAATATGTGAGTTATGTGATATGTGGCTATCTCAACAAAGCTGTGTTTTTGTAAAAGAAAAAAAGATAAGAATAATTTCAGTAAGCACTTAGATATCTTTTTAAATCCAACTATGTAATAGTGTTAAATTGAAAAATTTGGATACCAGATCAGAACTTCCCATTTTAATTTAAATATAGCCCTTTCCTTATTAGGAAGCTAGAAGGAATGTTGTTAACACTCACCGTTGCTTTTATGAATTTGTGACTCCCAAACTGCATTATAGTCGACAGTACTTGGTGAGCCTCCAGATGTCCAAGGAGGGTTTTAAATGATTTCCAGATGTCCATGAAAGACACTTTCAGTGGCTTTGGGCTGAGAAGTAGAGTAACCAACAATAAAATGCTATTCTTAGGATTCATTCATTACAGCCTCTTTTGCTTTAGGTGAAGTTATAACCATCATGAACACACACAGCCCTGGTCACACACAGAAAAGACTTTAGTCATGTTCTCTCTCATGCCTGGGATAGTAGTGGCTTAACAGAGAGCATGGAAAGAGGAAGGCAGGTCCCAATGAGAAGACCTTCACCCTTCTTCCCTCCTACTCTTGGCATAACCCTTTCAAGGTGTATCCGTGCCATATATGTATCACCATTTAATTGGTTCTCCTGAGGCTGTAAACCCTCACATTGGTCTGGAAGAAATGAAGGCTTCTCCTGTGCCTCGATGTGGACCTTCCTTAACACTAGAAATACATGGGGCATTAGATCTCCCGGGAAGAAATGAAGCAAAAATGTTTCTGAGCTACAAATACATTGAAAACATAATTTACCTAGAGTTTCTGTGGCTTTGCTAATTCATAAAGAAGGGAAAAAGAGAACACATTTCTCATTTCTAGATTTGCATCACCTGGAGTAACTGAATATTTCCCAGTCAACCTCCTTGGGTCTCAGGCTCCACCTAATAAAGTTGAATTTAAAAGAAGTTGTACCTGCTCATTCTTCTTACCATTTATAAAGTTATACACCTATAAGGCAGAAGAGAGTCTGGAAGTCAAGTCCAGTCAAGGGAGAAGAGGAAGGTAGGAAAATTGCTGAATGAAATCCCTGCTACTCCCCTCTTGCCCAACAGCTTCTCCCTCAGAAAATACAGCTGAGTTCACGACGTGTCTCTGTGGAAGTCACTTGACTGACTTTAATTCCCATCCAGCTTTGTTTAGTGCTAGAAGAGGAACCAGTCAAAACGACATAAAATTGTGGGGCACACTCACACACTACATTTAATACCTGAAATACACTTGGAAGTATTGTCACTGACTCTTGCTTTCTTTACCAGGAGTTATTACTCACTTATGTACCAGTAAGTGTGAACTAGAAAGCAGCATTGGAGTGGAAGACATTACCCAAAATGTTTAGGAGAGGAGACAGAAGGAAAGATGGTCGTGAACAACACGTATGAAAACAGGTATTTCTACACTCATGCCTAATATATGAGAAATGTGTCAGGGTCTTAAGCCTGAGACTGGCCCCTGACCAGCAGGGGACAGTACAAGCACTCCCCGACAAGGTGAATGGGAGAGGTAAGGTCGACGGGTCAAGCACACTGCAGCAAGCACCCGTGAGTTCTGTCAAAGCAGGAAATACTTTATTGAGAAAGTGTACAGGCTTATAAAGCTTAAGAAAGACATGCGCAGTAGGGGAGCCAATCAGCAAAAAGGTCATGCAGGCATGGGTGGACCACGCACAGGAGCATCTTAAGCAAGGTATAGGGATCATGCACTGTCCACGTGTCTGGAACTAAATCAGACCTATCCCTGCAGGTGGTCCGATCTCACGTGGTTTAACCGCAGTGGCGCAGACACGGCCCCCAATCATCCACCAGGCACCATGTTGTTAGGGACTAATTTAGGCAATGCCCAATATTTCCCCCTTTTTGTTTTATATTAAAGAGAGAAAGAGGAACTGAGTGGAGAGTGTGCCTGTCTTAGGTTGTCCCCTCTGGGATCAGCCTTTTAGGGAGCATGTCTGTCTTAGGTCGTCCCCCTCTGGGGAGCTTACCCATCTTTGACTACTACTCCAGCTGTTAGGGGATCTTACCCATCATTGGCTACCACCTCAGCAATTCAGGGTATGATGTATTATACCTCTACATCTTGGCAGTGGCCGTGGATGGATGTATAGGGTTCCCAATCTGGCACTTAAAGAGCGGCATAACCCGGTTCTTGAAAAGTGGTGTATTGTTGTCAGACCACCATTAACTGGACTGCAGTGATGCGATCTTGGACAAATTTATGAGGACAAGGGAGACCAAGGGGCCCACAAGGTGGAGGAGATAAGGAAGCCATCCCCCAAGGCCTGACCACAGGTAACTAGAGCTTCCTGGAGGGTCTTGATCTTGTCCTGGACGAATGATCCAGTCACAATGAGGCAGAGAGTCCAATATGGTCTTTTCATCCCTGTAAGAGAAAAGAAAAATTACTCCTCAGGAGGGGGTCCTCCTGGGTGACCTTCTTTGGCAAAGGGGAGATATTTAAGGTTTCTCGCAGGTACCCATATGGGACTGGAATTCCCCTGAGGGAAGACACATCCAAATCCTCTACCAGCACTCATCAGTGGGTCTGGTCCTCGCCAGCACCCGTTAGTGGGTCCCTCCATTTTACCCTAACCGAAAGGTAGGGTACTTGGAGGGACCATTGTTTGTGAAAGGCTGACAAGGGCTGATGTTTGGAAAATTTAAAATATTTAAGGTGAGCATGACCATTCGTAGCTGGTCTTGTGGGGGGTATGATTCCCCCTGTTTGTTTTATAAGTTGGTCTTTTAAAATCTTATTTTGTCTTTCAATGATTGCTTGTCCTTGTGGGTTGTGAGGAATTCCAGTAGAGTCTTGAATATGCCATCTGTTGAAGAATTCTTGTGTTGTCTTACTAATGAAACAGGGGCCATTATCAGTCTTAACTATTACTGGTAGCCCCAAAATAGCAAAATATTGTAGAAAATGACTAATAGCATGTTTGGCCTTTTCACTGGAGTGAGCAGCGGCCCAACAGGCATGGGAGAATGTGTCAATAGACATAAAGACATATTTAAGCTTGTCAAATGGTGCATAGTGTGTAACATCAGTTTGCCATAGTATGCTGGGCTTTAGTCCTCTATGATATACTCCAGGTGTTTGGAGAGGTGGGAGTTGTAACAGGGGAAGACATGATTTGCAGGTTTTTATAATCCGTTTAAGTCTTTAATGGGAACGGAAGGAAATCTATGATGTAACCCTCTCCAATTTAGATGTGTAAGGTCATGAAGACCTTGAGCAAGCTGTACATCAGGAATGGTTTGAATTGGGGCTGTCAAGACCCCATGCATAGCAAATTGATCGGCCATTTTATTGCCTTGTGACAAGAAACCTGGCAAATTTTGATGTCCTCTCAAAAGAAAGGTTGACTTCTTTGTCTCAATAAGGACCTTACCTGGATCATTAATGGGGTGATAGGATTGTTATCTAACCTAATATGGGACAAAATTAGAGAGGGCAGAAGATTCACCACATAGAGACTATCTGAGAATAGATTTAGTGACTCTCTAATATGGGACATGGCCATGGCTACAGCATACAGTTCCTTAAATTGGGCAGATCCCTCAACAGACTCAAAATATAGTTGAGGCAACCTTTTTAGGGAACTTGATGTAGGAGGGTAAATTACTACTGCAGAACCAGCTCGTCCCCCATCCATAAACACATTGACAGCCTCCTTTAGGGGCCTGGTAGAAAAGAGGGTGGGAGGTATCCATGACAGGTGGGAAAAGGAAGTTACCCACCTAGTTGGATGGTAATGGCAGTCAATTTTTCCTAGAAAACCCTCTAGACCTAAGGACACCCTAGGGTTGCTTCTTTGTATCCACTCAAAGTCTGAGGACCTGTAGGGGACAACAAACATCTCAAAATCTTTGCCATAATGTCTAATAGAGGTGTCCCTCCCCTTAATGATGAGGTTAGCCAATGGTCAAGATGTGAATACACTCTAGGGACTCCTCCAATGGAGGTGTGTATCCATTGGAGAAGATTTCCTTTTTGGGTGATTACAGCCATGGGCAGTTTGGCTCCTGAAAGGATCCAAAGGCTCATGGGATACTTAGGGTTATATCTAGCTGGTTGGACATTATCAAGGGCCGATTGGACCTCTTGTAGTATTTTGAGGTGTGTTACATTTAGACTGATAGTCTCAGTAAAGTCTTTGTCTTTTAATAAATCAAAGAGAGGGAGGAGATCCTCAGTAGAAATATGGAGCCAGGGCCTCAGCCAATATAGCTCTCCCAGCAGTTTTTGTAATTCCGCTAATGAATATTTGGGCTGTATTGATAGCTGAGGTTTAAGGGGGAGACAGAGTCTGTATTGAGATGCGTCCCCAAGATTTTGAATGGGGGGACGGTCTGGACCTTATTGCTGGAAATATGGAGACCAGCTTGAGCTAGGAGTTTTTGTAACTGTCTGAAAGTGGGCCCTACTTGTTCTGGGTTAGCAGATCCAATAATAATGTCATCCATATATATATGTGTGTGTGTGTGATATATATATATATGTGATCCCTTCCTGTTGTAAGGGGTGCAAAACCTGGGAGACAAAATGTTGGCAAAAGGCAGGACTATTGGCTATCCCTTGGGGAAGAACTACCCATTCATATCTTTCATCCGGACCCTGAAAGTTTGTGGAGAGTATGGAGAAGGCAAATTTTTCACAATCATTAGGATTTAAAGGGACAGAAAAGAAACAATCTTTGATGTCTACTACTATAAGTGTCAAATTGGAGGGTATAGAAGGGATCCAAGGCAGCCGTTGGAGGGGAGTTCCCACCTGGGTTATGCGGTCATTGATCTTTCTAAGGTCTTGTAGCATTCTCCATTTTCCAGAAGCCTTTCGAATAACAAAAACAGGGCTATTCCATGGACTCATAGAGGGCCTAATATGTCCCAGTTGTAATTGTTCTGCTATGATTTCTTTTAATATTGACAATTTGTTTAGAGGCAGTGGCCACTGTTCCACCCATATAGGTGGTCCCGGGAGCCATTGAATTGCAGGGACCAATGGAACAGTGGCCTCTAGGATTGGGGGTGAGGTCTGACCTGGGGGGCTGGAACACCAGTTCTAGAAGCCTCGAAGAATGGGTCACCCCTGTAGTTGCTTGGGGAGCCTGGTGACTTAAATTGCTGTTGATGTTCTTCCTCCTCTAGGAGATCCTCATAGAATGCCTTATGATCTGTAGTAATATATACCTCAGTTTCTCCCAGTATATCTTGTCCCAACAGGTTAGCAGATAGACCAGTGGCCACAGGAGGTGCACTTACCCCTGGCTACCATCCACATCCTCCCATTTTAGGAAATCTTTAGTTTCTTCTGACCTGGTATTTCCCCCACCTCCCATCAGATGGGGCCCTGGGACTAGTTGCCACTGTGGAGGAACTTCTTCTTTTCTTAAAACCATACGGTCGGCCCCAGTGTCGATCAGACAGCGGAATTTCTTTTTGGCTATGAAAATATCCATCTTGGGCCTAATTCCTGGAATAATGGGGACAGTTCAATGGGCACGGGGGGCGGGGGGACCTTTGGGAGTAAACCTAGACCTATAATCTCCTGCGGCTGGCGAGGTCAAGGTAGAGCCTGAGGAGATGCCTCCTTTATGTGACAGGACTGGAGGGTGCCTAGTTTAAAGGCTTCCCTTCAATATCAAACTTTGATTTACAGTCCTTTAGCCAATGGAAACCTTTGCGACAGCAGGGACATGGAGTCTTAGGTTTAATGCCTCGTTTTCCTCCAGAGAGCAGAGAACGGAGTGGCGCTTGAGCAGCAAGGTGGCTATTGGGACATTCCCTCTTAAAGTGACCCAATTGACCACATCCAAAGCAAGTTCCCCCTTTTCTCCCAGTGGCCAGAGTGAGGGCATTAGCAGAGGCCTCAGGCAGTAAGGTTGTCTGGGTTTGTAAGGCAGCTGCCAAGGACTGAGATTGATGGGCTTGTGTCCCCACATCCTTGGTGGCCACGACTCATCTACCCGTTGACCTGTCTTTCATCCCTGCACAAGCAAGTTTATGATCTGTGATCATGCCCTCCCATACTAGCATCTTAACAAATTGATCTCTCAGGGGTCCTGGGGGGGAACTTCCTCTGGAGGCTCTTTTCAACCTGCTCTATAAAGGTGGCCAGGTCCTGAGATGACCTTTGAGTGATCCCAGCTACAGATGGTTCAGAGAGGCCTTCCTCCAGCTTTTTCCAGGCAGCCAGTCCTATGGCCCTTACTTGCTCCTGGTAAGGAGCAGGAATGGCAGCCTGTTGCAGGCCAGTAGCATATTGGTCACTAGATCCAGAAAGCATCCCGAAAGTTACTGCTATAAGAGGATTAGTGGCCTGGTTTCTTTCTGCCTGCATAAGACACTCGTCATTAAAAAAGGTGCACCACTTTATGTATAGAGGACCA